AGCGTCCAGAAAGACCGACTGCCATTGCGCTGCGACATTACCCTGTGCCTAACTTTTATATCATGCTGGTTTTTGGCATTGCGTACCGCTTCGTTATATTTGTTTCTGGAGGCGACGTCGGCTTGTCTGTTCTCAACAGTGGGGTTTTGTAAGTAGGTTCTGTGGGCCTTGATCTTCTGCTGGCGAGCAGTGTCACACGATTTGTTGAACCAGCCGTTGGGCCCCGGTTTAGGAACTTTCACTGTGTGAGGGATGTATTCCTCCATTCCGACGTGGATAATTTCGGTTATTGAAGAACAGACAGTCGACGGATCCGCGTCAGTGAAACAGACATCTCTCCAAGGAAAGCTAGAGAAGAAGTCTCTGAGCCCCTCCCAGTCGGCATGTCCGTAATGCCAAGTTTTGCGGCCTGTGAGAGTTTCTTGTGCCACAGCGGCTTCTGACCGAAACCTAACCTCCACAACACCGTGATCTGAGTTACCCAGGGGGGACAGGACAGCAGTGCTGTAAGGGGCAGGATGCGTGGTCAGAAAGAGATCCAGCAGGCTACTGGCGTGTGACGAGACGCGGGGGAAAAAAGTAGGGCTCGTCACCAGCTGGGTCAGCCCTTGAGTAAGAGCGAACGCTTCGACTGCACGACCTGCTGCATCGGTCTTATTTGAGCCCAACCAAAGCTCATTATGGGCATTGAAATCACCGAGAAGAGCTACCTCTGAAGCGTGGTGATTGACGTTCAGGAAGTCGATCTGGACGGCGAGGTATTCGAGTAGGTCATCCCAGTTATGGTTCGAGGGAGAGCGATAAAGGCAGCAAATATATTTGGGTGATGTTTTGGAGTTGAGGCGAAGCCACAGAATGTCCTTCCGGTCTGATTCCAAAGAAAGATCCCTGGAGCAGGAAAGACTGCTGCGGACAAAAGCCACAACTCCCCCGTTCTTTCTTAGATTGGAGTGCACCTCGTAGTTTGGGAAGTTGAGATGGTTAATCGGTGCAGTCTCTGAGATTTTTGTCTCCGCCAAGAAAAGCACGGCGGGACGATTGGATTGCAGGTAGTGATGAACAGCATCAATGTTGCTGTTGATCCCGCAGATGTTCGAAAAACAAATTTTATCTTCGATGTTGTTCCCTGGAGCCCACCCTCCACCCGGACATTCAGAGAGTGGAGTGATCATTAATTTCTTTGTTTTGGTAGATAACCGACTGCATAGCTTAGGTGTGGAAACATGCGGACATTTATAAAAGCTAGCGGGTGGTACTGCCTCGGTCGACTGGTCCTTGTCTACCACCTTCTTTTTATGTGTTAGTGATGTTAAATAGACCTAAAGTGGCCCGTTGGCGGACTTGTACCGCCACCCGGCAATCGGTACTGAGGTATTCCTTAACGCGTGCACAATCACTTGGACGGGAAGAAGTTGTATACGTATACTGGATACAACAACTTCTGGAACAAGCATTTGCCACGGCCCTTGCTCAGTAGGGCAGAAAAGCTCAGTAGGGCAGATGAGGCAAATGAGGAAATACGTTATGACTTGAATTACTTATTAGCTGAAGCATTATTGTGGAGGCAAGGTTTGAAGTATTTGAGATACATAGATAATATATAGTAGATATCCATCGTAATTGACGGGTTCTCCTCGTCATCCCACAATGTCAACGCGGGTGTTCCCCAGAGATCAGTCTTGGCTGCGACATTGTTCCTCTTACATATCGACGACCTCATTGCCTGTAATATCAATCTGATCTACAGTTTTGCTGATGACGGCTCTTCACATTTATTGCAGGAATCTATAGTGACAAGCCGACCCCCGACGGTGAGCTGGAAAGAACAGAACTAGCAGCGACTCTGACGAGAGATCTGAAGGTTGTCACTGACTTGGGGTCGCAACAACCTGATACAGTTTAATGCTTCCAAAACGCATTTCTATACTTTCACTAACAAGAAGCTAACAGTCTCTTTCCCATCGACTGGCTATCGGCGGTCTAGCTCTCTTCTACCGTTATATCAACGGGGCTTTGCTCCTCAGAACTCTCCTGTGCCGACTGACTTCGGCCTTCCCCATCCTAACTATACCAAATTTCGTAGATCCAGGACTGGCCGATACGACCACTCCGTTGTCTCTAGGGCATCTAGATTGTGAAGCGATCTGCCTGAAGAGTCTTTCACCAGTCCTACTAACCTTAGACAGTTCCAAAATCGGATTAACAAAGTTTCTCTAAGCTCCTCACAGCAGCCGCGGTGCCCTGGTATCTAGGCTTCTGTCAGCGCAGCTGCTTCCGTATAAAAAGGTATCCTTTTTTGACCCGGAAATATGTATATCAGCGACGGAAACGCTGATATTTGACAAAGCAGAATATCAGTAAGCCCTTGCAGACTAGGAAAATTGGGATGCGACACGTGTAGTAATTATACAGGGTGACGCATCGAAAACGAAGCAGACGCATTTACTGGGAGCTCAGTGTTTTTTTGGAAAAACGCTCAGACCCGTCGATTTTGTTTTCGAGGGGGACACAAGCTTGGCAAAAAATCACGTTAACATGTGCAGCCCCCTGGGCGGGGGTGACATCAACCCTAAAATCTTAAATGGAAAGGGGGGTCGAGTGATACCTTATTTTAAAGGTCTTTCAATTCCCTTTATAATGAAGTAAAATACATGAGCTTCAGTTCAGTAGTTTTGAAGATTTATTGATTTAAAGCTTAAAGTAGACTTCAATAGGTACATCAGATTAGTTTGTACTACTTTCAGAAGAAATGTGACTAAAAGAATTTACTCAATAAGTAAATGCTTTTCTTCACTACGCTCATGATTTGTTTATCATTTTGTTGTTGAAAACAGCTATTGGAGCGTTTTTTTGTGGCAAACAAGTTATTTCTTGAAGAAAGATAAGAAAATATCTCGTACTTATTTTAAATAGGAGTTTAGTACATAGTTTGCGATTTATTTGACCAAAATTAGTTACTAAAATAACTTGTAACGCTTTATTATATAAATTAACCATGGTATATTCCACAGCAGAAAGAGTTGAAATTATCGAAACATTTTTCGGAAATAATCAGTGCGCTAATAGAACAGCAGAAATATTTAATGAGCGACATGAGAACTCGTAGCTAAATTTCGGGAAACTGGGTCAGTCGCCAATAAAAAACGCAACATTGAAAATCCCATAAGGAACGAAGCAATAGAATTGGGGGTTTTAGAGCAAGTTTATGTAGATCCTACGTTAAGTACCCGCAAATTGGAGACTGTGTGTGGTGTTAGTCGACGTACTGTTCGTCGGATTCTTAAGGCCCATAGTTTTCATCTGTATAGAATTCACCAGGTACAAAAACTTAATGGAGACGATTTTGATCGGCGATTACAATTTTGTGAAGATATGAGTGAACTATAAACGATGAACATGTTCTATTCAACACTTGCTTTTCCGACGAATGTTCCTTCTTCTTAAATGGCGTAGTAAATCGTCACAACTGCCGATATTGGTCCGATTCTAATCCCAGAATGTATCATGAGGTTCATACACAGCAGCCACAAAAATTAAATGTTTGGGCTGGTATTTTTGGCCATTATTTAGTTGGTCCTTTTTTCTTACCTGGAAATTTGACCGGTGAAATGTATTTGGAATTACTGGAAGACGCCATAGATCCTGCATTAACAGCCATAATTGAAAATCAGAATGATCTGCGGTACATTGCGAATAGGTTGGTGCCCCACCACATTACGCATTACGTGTTCGACAATATTTAGATCAAACGTTTCCAGATCGATGGATTGGTAGAGGAGGTGCCATTGAATGGCCCCCAAGATCGCTGGATTTATCACCTTTGGATTTCTTAATGTGGGGTCATTTAAAAAGCAAAATCTATGCTACTCAGCCAACATCATTAGAAGTGCTGCGACAAAGAATTGTGAATGAGAGCCTTCAAATGACTCCTCAAATATTGCAAAATGTGCGGCAACGTTTTGAGCAAAATCTTTATTATTGCATGGAGAGTCATGGAGGCCATTTTCAACATTTACTTGCCTAACGGGTCAGTTCATTCTTCATTTTTAAATTCATGAGAGAAGCCATAACACCACATGAAAGATTAACGGCAACATTGCGATTTCTTGCAACCGGGAGGAGTTATGTCTTATTCAACTATTATTTCACCACAAGCATTAAGTTGTATAGTTCCTGAAACCTGCCATGTCATTTACAAGGTGTTAAGAAGCAGGCATTTGAAGGTGAGTAATTATATATAAACTATTTAAACTCTGTTATTTATTATTTTTTTGACGAAAAGATTTACAAAAAGTAGGTACATGTGTATAATAAACTATTACAAAATAACATTAAGCATCGCTAAAATTTGAAATATAGGACGCGATAGAATGATTGGAATTATCATTGGGGGTTACTGGAGAAAGAGTTTCATAATGTACCTGAGATTGAGGAAAAGTTGAGGGGAAATGGGAGTAATTGGTATTTAATTGTTGAGGTGAAGGACAATCTGTAGAATATGTATTGTTAGTTTCATCACAAATACGATGGGACGGAGTTAACTGACCCATTTCTGCCATGAATAATGTATCGTTAATCATTTTTTCTGCCAACAATCTCTGAATATTGTTTGTTATGGCTCTCATTTTCAGAGCGACGTTTTTCCCAAAAATGTCATGTCTATCTTCTTAAGGTTTTTTAAAGTGGCCTTCAATTGCGTCCAACACAGAATCACATTTGTCAATTTTGCGCTTAGGTGGTCGGGAAATGGTGCTTTTTTTTGGGGTGGATTGTGTGGCCTCAGTTGTTTGACAGCCAGTATCATCATGTGTTGTTGACTCATCCTCCTCAATGGGTTGGTCTAAACTTTCTATAGAATTTTCAGTTGGTTGGGCTTCAACTTCTTCCTGAATATAATATTTAGCAAATATAAATACATATAACATCTACTATTAGATATAATGTAGTTGTAATTATTTTGTACAAAATATCTCTGTATTGTTATATTAATTTATTTCCAGGTTCCACAAACTGAAAACGACTGGATTGCTATAGCAAAGGATTTCGAAAAGAGATGGAATTTCCCTCATTGTCTTGGCAGCCTAGATGGAAAACATATCGATATAATTCCTCCCGCAACAGTGGATTTTTTTTTCAATTACAAACATACACACAGTTTAGTTCTACTTGCCATAACAGATGCAAATTATAAATTTATTTTATTTGATTTCGGTACAAATGGCAGAGTATCAGATGGGGGCGGTCCTTCAGAATACAGAATTTTTTAGAAGACTTCAGGCCAAATTATTAAACATTCCCGGAGAAAAAGAAGTTGCAAATGAGTCACGAAAGCTACCGTTTGTTTTTGTCGCAGATGATGCTTTTCCTTTGAGGCCTGACATGCGGAAACCATACAGACAGAGTGATTTAACTTGGTATTGAAAAAAAATTTACAACTACCGATTATCGAGAGCACGGAGAATCGTGGAGAACGTCTTTGGGATTATGGCAGCTCGCTTTAGAATTTTTCACACCTCTATCAATTTAGAGTTATATCACATTGAGGAAATATTGAAAGCAACATGTGCTTTACACAATTATTTAATGTCGACAGTAAAAGAAATTTATGCTCCACCGGACTCTTTTCACTTAGAGGACATAGAAAGTGGTATGATTCGCGCTGGCTTGACCTCTGAAAATTCTAACATCATTACAAAGGTCCCATATGACAGGAAATACGCCATTGAATGCTAAACAGGTTAGAGAAGAATTCAGGAATTACTTTTCCAATGAAGGAGCAGTACCTTGGCAACACAACTTTATACATTAATAAAATAATATGGTACATTAAGTGTGTGTGGACTTTTTATGCAAATAAATAAACTACTTATGTATAAATATGAAAAACAATAAAACTTACCTCTGTCTCGTTCAAGTTAGATACTGATTTTCTAGGTGTTTCTTGATGTCCTAAAAAGTGGAACAGGTGGTAGTACCAGAGTGTGAGCTCATAACGTTCATGTGCACCCATTCAGAGTGTTCTGCATCTTCAACTTTTTTCTTTTCTCTTCTATAATTAGTCCGGAAGGAGTTTAAGGAGTTTATCTTTTTAACAACTGCATCCTTGTCGGCATTAACATCAATTAACCTATATTTTTGTAATAATCTTCTGTACGCTGCATCCCTCTTTGCTTTGTTATGATAATCTTTGGATTTAACGTGCCAAAGACATGGCTGATTTTGATATTCTCGAATAAAATCTTCCAATAATTCACGGTTAACCTTTTTGAGATCACTAGTCATGACGAAAATTACTCAAATGCTACTACGTACGACCAGTCACGATATTTTCAATACAACAGGAGAGACGCCAACTTCTGCAAACTTGACAATTTTGGGTACACACGTACCGTTTTGCTTGCGCAAGCGCGCCTAATTCAAGCATGCATAATTAAAATCAATTCAATCCTCAAGCTGCTTGTACAATTACGAAGCTTGCACCACATTTCCCTACAAACATTCAAGCGTACTTGTACAAAAAGATTGAACAATCATGCTGGACAAGCATGCAGTTGTGTCTGTAACCACCTTAACAGAGAAAAACATTAGTCCTTTGAGGAAAATTCTTGACGAAGACCGGAGAGTGACATACCAACAGATAGAGGAGACCTTACACCTTCATGCACCATCAATTCATTCAATATTATTACAAATATTATCAGGAACAACAAAACTTAAGGATACTTTTTTAAAATTCAAGTTCATCTTTTACTACTCCTATCTCTAAAGAGGACCTAAAAATGTCAGTAAATAAATACATTAATGATTTCCAAATTCCAAGTATTGCAACAAATATAGCACAAAACGTCGATGAACTTAATTTATGTACACAAAATTCTGATGCAAAATTTCGAATTTTTAATATGAACATAAGGAGTATAAAACACAACATTGATTACTTAAAAATACTACTCGACCAAGTATGGTACAATTTTGATCTAATAGTTTTAACTGAAACGTGGCAAGTGGCTGATATTTCTTGCTGCAATCAGCAGGGATATGACACGCTGTATAACTTTGGCACTTATAAGCAAAACGATGGGGTGATAGTTTTTGTAAGAAATAAACTGCAATATAATCATGATACATTCACTTTCACCGATGGAATCAAAATTTTAAACATAATGATCCAAATTAACCATAACAAAATTGAGGTATCTGCAATTTATCGTCCGACATGTTCAGAACCCCACGAGTTTTTAAAGAATATCGAATTTTTTTTCAAAATCAAAATAAAGTTCATTTAAAGCAATATATTTTCTTGGGAGATGTCAATATAAATATTTTGGACGATGATCCCATCACAAATGAATACTTGAATATCCTATCAAGTAACGGATTTCTGTCCTATATAAACCTACCTACAAGGTCCAACAGTGGCACATGTATAGATCACTGCTTTGTGAAAGACCTATCCAACAAAATTACTTGTATACCAATAATCCTAGAAAGCGATATTACTGACCACTTCTCCACTATTTTACTGATATCTTCAAATGAAAAACATTCTAACATCCCTACCATTAGTAACAACCAGGAAAATTACAAATTGTTTGTCGACAATTCAAAACTAATATCAAATGTCAAACAAGAATCCTGGGAACAATTATACTCTATAAATAATACAGAGAAGATAAAAAAACTAATAGATATTAGTACCAATAAAGTAATAATTAGTCACAAAGAGAAAAGCAGAAATGCCTGGATTACCAAAGGATTAATAACATCGGCAATAGAAAAAGAAAGACTATATAATGTAATGAAACTAACGCCAACTACAGAGAATACCGACTGCTACAACCAATATAAAAATAAATTTATAGAACTTGTAAGGCAAACCAAACGAAAACATTACCTAAATAAATTGAATAATAACTTAAATGATCCTAAGCGGCTTTGGACAACTATTGATGAGATTACTGGGAAAACAAAAGTTAAAGAGTGTGTCACTGAGTTAAATACAACAGCGGGAACAGTATTAAAAAATACTCAACACATATGCGATGAATTTGTACAATTCTTTACTGACATAGGCGAAAATTTAGCAAGTAATATACAAGCAAATGTACAAAATACTCAGCCTCCAAAAAGAACTTTGAACTCATTTATTTTGGATAAAGTCGAGCAATGTGAAGTATACACCACTGTTATGTCCTTAAAAAACCGGAAAAGTCCTGGGTTCGATGGTATTAAAAGCGAGCATTTGAAAATTATAGCCGAGGACATAACAGAACCACTCACTTACCTAATCAACAAATGCTTTGAATCTGGCATATATCCCTCAATTTTAAAAAAAGGTAATATAATACTGATACATAAATCAGGAACAAAAACAGATGTTAACAACTATAGACCAATATCAATAATATCCAGTGTAGCAAAGGTTTTTGAAAAAGTTTTATCTACTAGAATGATTCGATACCTCACAAAATTAAAAATTTTAAGTGAAAATCAGTATGGATTTACAGAAGGGAAGGCTACATCGGACGCAATAACTAAAATTGTAAATCAAATACATCAAGATATTGATAACAGAATCCCTTCAATCTGCATTTTTGTTGATTCAAAGAAAACTTTCGACACAGTTAATCACAAATTATTATTAGAAGCATTGGAGAGAATTGGTTTCAGAGGAAACGCGTACTCACTGATCGAAAGTTATTTGTCAAATCGCCCACAATCTGTGCAGATATCAGGATCATTTAGTAAAGAAATGTATATTAAATGTGGTGTCCCACAAGGAACTGTCTTAGGTCCGCTGTTATTCAATATATATTTAAATGATATTTTCCAAATTAATTGTGTTGGCAAAATAACTAGTTTTGCAGATGATACTGCAATATTATATGAAGGCACTGACTGGTCTGATCTGAAAAATGTAATTGAAAATGATTTTATCAAAATTATTCGGTGGTTTAACAGTAGAAAATTAAGCATTAACTACTCTAAAACACATTTTTTACCATTTGGATCTTATGCTAGACATCTGCCAAATTACACAAATTTCTCCTTCAATATTAATGATCAAAAAATGCAAATTAATAGAGTGCCCAACATAAAATACCTTGGAGTGGTCTTGGATCCTCACTTACGATGGGACATCCATGTCAATTATATTTTAAAGAAAGTTAGATTTGTATCCTACAAAATTAAATACCTTGGGAATATATTGACAGAAAAATATCTTCGAACATTATACCATGCACTGATTGAGCCTCATCTCACATATGGTATATTAGCATGGGGAGCTGCATGTTCCTCACATATCTATAATTTAGATGTTTTTCAAAAAAGTATTCTAAAAATATTTAAAAAACCGAAACTTTATCCCACTGAAAAATTATAAGCAGATGTTCGAATGTATGATATAAGACAGCTTTATTTCTTACACAGTATCACTCACTACCATAAATTTGTAAACACCGACCAAAAAATTAAACATAATCATTATACCAGGTACAAAATTCGTGGCACAGTAGTTCCTCAACCGCATAAATCTATAATGCAGCGATCATATCTCTATTTAGCACCTAAATTTTATGAAATTATACCTAAAGACTTAAAAGATTTACGTTTCGGAAATTGTTTCAAAAGAAATTTAAAAAAGTGGCTACATTCTATATCTAGGACTGAAATTCATAAACTCATAAATACGAACATCAACTAAATACATAATCTACTGTAGCTAATTTTGTTGGTGCCAAAAGATGCTGAAAACGTTTGATCATGGTATGTGAACAGCATCGTGACAGGTGCGAAATTGGGTCTATTACTACGATGTACCGACCAAGCCTCAAAACAAGGTTTGGGTATTCTGTCATTCCATGTGTCCAATTTCTTTCAGGTCTAGGCAAAAGATTCATTTTGGATGGAGTCAGAGTTGTTATAAACTTCTAAGCACATTTTTGGATGTTTCTTGGGGCCAATCTGCTAATCCAAATTATCTACCGAGTAACTCTATCTATCGCAATAATACCAAACTTCATCGCAAGGGAGGTAAGTTTCAATACAGGGTGTTTCAGAACTAAGGGATCAAACTTCTAGGGGTTATTCAGTGTAACATTAAAAAACATTTGAGTCCAGGGACCCATATCTGGAAAAGTGTCACTACCGCACTACGGCCCTAAGACGCATTAAAGTTTAGAAAGACGATGAATTGCCTAAATCGGATTTAATGCATTTAATTTTTGACTTTTGTACATGATATCATCAGAACAATTGTTCAAAATATCTTCCCCCAACCTGAATACACCGATTTAAATGTCGCACATGTTTCCGGCGGACCTGACTAAAAATTTGATATTCGTCCGATTAAGTTTTGCTCTGTTTCTATTGGAGTTTCCTAAAACAAAAAAACTTTACATGTCCTCACAGAAAAAACAATCTAGCGACGTTAAATCGGGTGACCTAGGAGGCCAAGAAACTGCTCCACCTCTAGCAATCCAACGGTGTCCAAACCGCTGAGCCAAATACTCACGTACTTGTACAGCAAAGCGAGCCGGTGCTTCATCATGCTGTCGAATGTCCAATGGAACATTTTCCAGAAGTTCTGGAAGAACATCCTCCAAGAAACGCCGGTAAATAGGTCCTGTTAACCGTTCCGGTAGAAGGTATGACCCAATCAAATAATCATCAACAATGCCTGCTCATACGTTGACAAACCAACGTTACTGATGTTTGCTAGGAAAAATTGCATGGGGATTTTCTTTGTCCCAAACGCGGCTATTCCTGCTATTAAAAATACCATCTCTTGTGAAAGAGGCTTCATCGGTCCATAAAACATAGCGTAAAACATTTGGTTGTACAGCGATTTGATGAAGAAGCCATTCACAAAAGGATAAGGATAAAGTTGTTGCTCGTGTAGCACCCGCTAGATGGAAGCGTTACTTGTATCCATATCCTCAGCAGTGTGACGTGTGCTACTTGATGGTTCGTCGGCAACTCGCTGAAGGAGCTCTTCTTCAAATTCGACCGTTCTTACGGTTCGAGCAACATCAGTATCATGCATGTTGGCTTTAAACATGCCTGTCTCGGAGAGCCGCCGATGAATAGCAATAAATTTTTTGTATCCCGGATGCTGTCGTTCGGGATAACGTTCTTGGTATGCCAAATTCATATCCGCCAATTCTTGATTGGTAAAGTTTTCCATTAGCAACAATTAATTTTTGTTAAATTCTTGCACACTTCACAAATACGATAGCACGACTAAGGCGAAATGGAATGCTGCTACAAAGAACAATCTCTGTTATCATTTTTAAAGATAACACCACACAAGCGTCCGATATGGGTCCATATACTAAAATGTTTTCTACTGTTACATTGAATAACCCCTACAAGTTTGATCCCTTAGTTCTGAAACACCCTGTAGAGTGCAATTTCATTGGACTTGCCGATAAGATCTAAAACGTGTAGAATATTTTATCGCCAGCTTGAAGCAAAATACCGCTTCTCTTATAATATTGGATGAGGGTTGTTTTATTTCGTTACCTCTGTTGTTTCATTTCACATTGTTCTCTCATCAGATATTCAATTGTATATCTGGGGTAGCAATATATTATTATATATTTTCCTTAACTTTGATTTATCAACAGTGGAAATACGACACGCAGTATATTTATAGGAAAGTAGTTCGTTACGTGTTGCAAGTGAATGTTTGGTGTACGTTATCATCATAACAAGGTTTTATGTGGCGTCATAGTTAATTTCCGACGAAACAATCACTTCTTGATGTACACAGTTCGATAAACTAAAGTGAGAAGCAAAAGGCTGGCGAGTCCATCTGGCGGGCCTAGAACACTGAGACATAATGGAATAGGGCTCGTAGGATCCAGTTGTTGTGTGGAGAGTTCTCCGACTTAAGAGAGTCTTAAGAACGACTTTGAACAGTATCAAGAGAAAATAAAGTTATGATTTGGCCGAATAGCCGAACAATATGAAAAGTAATAGCTGTAGGCTTAGGCTAAATTAGGAAAAATTTGCGTTCTTTGGGGCATATTTACATACCATTGAGAAACTTGTAAAAATTTCTTGGCTTACTTATTTAACATCCCCCAAAGAAAGGCAGCCAAGTAAGTCCATTTTCTTAATTCAAAAATTCTGATACGTCTCGAAAAAAGGAATGCTTAGAGGAAACTCAAAACAGTGTTCCACAAGCAGCAATCATGGTATTTGTAATCGCCGCTTTACTGGGCTCAAGAAAATTTGCGAGCTAAAAGGGTACCCAGACATCAAGAAGTTTTATGTCAAAACATGACCTAGAAGACTGCCTGAATAGTTTGACACAGGTTAATAGCTATTAGTTTCAACAAGACAGTGCTCCTGCACATAACTCTAGGCAAGTTCGAGAATATCTTTCTCAGCGATTTTTCGTAAGGTGGATTGGAACCTCCAGTGAAGTGACCTGGCCAGCGCGTTCCCCAGATTCAGCTCGTCTTGACGTTTTTGTTCGAGGTTCTATTAAAAACCAAGTTTATTAGCATACTTTTGAAACTGAGCAGCACTTGCGAGAATGTGTTATGGGAGCGTATCGTATGATTACATCAGAAATGTAACGTGATGTTTTGAATTCTATATGAATAAAATAAGAATAATGTTAAAAATGCATTCGTTATTGTAAATATCACTAGATTAATCATTATTTTATAAAATTTTACCTCATCATATCATATCAATACGTGATATGTAATAGAATCTTACATCAAACTACATACGCCTACTTAAATAAATAAATCAAAAACAAAAAAAAAACATTTTTCATGATAATTAAGAAAACAAGTATAATATTATTAAATTCGTAGAAAAAGATGTTATCAGATACAGAGAGTACTTTTTTTCGGACCATATAAAAAAAGCTGATGGTTTCTCAAAAACGAAACAATCACGTAGTACCTAAAAAGTGCAATGAAAAAAGGGCTACAACAAAAAAATAAAACCGACTATGTCAAATTTTAGTTTTTCCCAGTTTCTCATCGGCATGTAAATACGCCCCCAAAGAACTCAGCTTTTTCCTGATTTAACCTAAGCTGTACCTCCTACAGGTACTGAGATATCCATACGTAGAATCCTTATCTTGGACACCCTGTATAAGCTTCTCAAGGATTTATGAGAGCAATACTACTTTTTATCGATCATAGTCATAAATATTGTCACCGTGCATTATTGTGAGGAAACTACGACAAAGTATCACACTTGAGAGTAATTTTTGGTAGTGAAAACTGACTGGTTACCTAACTTTCTGGGTGTTATGAGTCTATTTTAGCTAGTTCCTCAGGTCTAGCATTAAAATTCATTATCCTCATTCCGGGCCCAAAAAAAATCCCAGAATATTTCTGAATCTGTGCTAACAGTTCTCGTCATCAGAATAACTTTTCATTTGAAATTGTCAGAATCCGAACGGCTCTGATACAGCAGAATCCTAAAAAGCTGTCAAATGATGGTTAAGAATACTGAGTGTACGAGGATTGGAATAAATCTAAAAAAAATTAAATTATAACAAAAAGATCAAGGCCCAATTTTATATGTATGTATCTTCCTACATTTTCCTTATTTCAATGTTACGAAAGGTTATTTTTAGTACTTAGGAAATTATATATATATATATATATAACGAAAAAGTCCTCTATGAGTCATTAACTATGTCAAAATTACATGCTGCGACATTGTTTATCATCCGTTTTTGGATCCAGTATCCGCCAAGCGCTTGCAAAAGTTCAAAATTAATGTTGCAGATCAATCTGTAGCTTGAAAAAATATGACCACCTCACCTCCACTTTCATAAAATTGGAGTAGTTATCTATTCCTAATCTAATTTCATTTATTATGTTATATTCATTAACTTTTACTTACATGGATTACCTCATTTTTGAAAGATAAGTTAAAATACCTTAATTTTTTACTAAGGCCCGTATCGTCAGTCGTCCCTACAATTGTAGGGCGCCTTTATGGCCTCCTTGATTGTCATACTTTTCTGCTTCTCCGTGTCAGAACTCTATTTTGAGGTTATGTCACATACATCTGTTTGCATCAAATTGTGCTTGCTTTTGAGTTATATCATATTGTATCAGCCTGAAATTTCCTACAATTTAAAAAGAAAACATATCTTCACAATAGGAGAGCGCTGACGCTGACACGGGACAAGTGTAATCTAGAAATTTTTGAAGGAGAGAAAGGAGGATGACAATCAAGGAGGCCATAAACGCGCCCTACAATTGTAGGGACGACTGACGATACGGGCCTAAATGTTTTACTTATAATGCTACTATCGTATGCAATATCCCCTGTTATACAAAAGCCTTAAATTTCGAGGGTTTCAAAAGATATTTAAGAAATCATTTTCGAGCAATCATATAATGTTATTCTTTTTCCCTTTTATAAAATTTTGATTTATTTACTCAATTGATTCGTTTTTAACTTGAAACCTCTGCATTTTCAATTATATATGTTGTTTTTATAGTTTTGTTTGGCAGTGGTAGTTGGAGCTTATCCATGATTTCTCCTATCCATCGCACATAAAGGAAAATACAGATTCTCTAATAATGTGAAATATACAAAATCAGAGAATGGGTCATTCCAGGATGATATTACGCCGTATGTTGACTTAGTCATAGCTAAGCATGAAACAGTAATGTAAACATTTGATTCAAATGCTTACGTTCAGTTTTACATCCATACTATGATTTAGTACATAGTAGTATACGATGCTTTATCTAAATATACCAGTAGTCCATGCACATATATAGCTATTTGTAAGTGAAGCTTATTTTCATATTTCGTACTGGTAGTAAGGTTTTGTACAAAACGTAAGCGTATTTATATTCTACACAAAATTTGATCATGCAACAATCGTCCCATTAACCCCGCTACTATACGGAAGTGGTCGCATTGATCGGCTGCTTCTCATTCACAATCTAGTAGAGTGGAGCGAATAACGACCTTTAATCGTGTCACCCCGTATACGTCTAGAGATGGGAGCATTTCACTCCTATTCACCAGTAACCCAGTACTTTGATAAAACACAAATATGTGTTTCTCCAACACATTTTGAAGATCCTGTGCATACTTCTCGGCTCTTCCAAGAAATAAAAGCCCATTTATAAAATAATTAAAATGGCGTCTAGTAAGGTGACTCTGTACTTATCACGTAATGCTGTTATCAGTTTTTAAAGGAGTATGCTCGACCCAAGTTATCCCTTCTAAGAAAAAAGGTAGCTACGACCATGTATAACAAAAAACTAAATGACCTTCCTTCTCCCCGTGAGAGGTATTCCTGTGCAAGCACATAATCGTTGCTATGACTAATCCCGATTGACTTTTACAGCATACAATCCATAGCAGTACGGAAGCGACTGCCGACTGCGACGTACGACATAACAATTCAGTCACTTAACTTAAAAATAAAGTTGTAATCGAACTATCTGCTTACATTACTTAAGCTACCTATAAAAGTCTTTCAGTTGCAAAAAATATTGGGCAAAGAAGCTTTACCTTTCTAGGACCAAAATTGTAGAATTTAGTACCTGTACACATTAAAGAATGCCTCCATATTAGCAAGTTGAAAAAAGATTTGTGGGCGCAGACTTTTGATTCATCAGATGCTAGATATGACAAATATTTATTATTTTGAATGGTAACCAAGAAAGACTATTTAACGATTTATTTATTGATTAATAATAATGATGAGATAAATTAATTTGTATGTAGTTTTCCTGATTTTTAACTACTCGTCCAAGATTTTCCATATAGCTAATTTTGACCTATTTCCTGAATTTTGAGAACAAACCCCGATACTGTCAGAAAAGCCCAGATATGTTTTTTCTTATTTTCATTATATGCAATGTATGAGGCTTTTGAACCCAAGCACAAATTGCTCAACTTTTTTGGGACTACCTGTGTATCGAACCTTTTTTATTTGTTATTTGTATGTTGTTTGGCAATAAATATGACTATTGTCTTAAACAAATATTAAATACAATAATATACTTTCAAAAAGGTACTCAATGAATGCTATCGTGATGTGAAAATATTTTCAAAATAACTTTAATGAGCCTTATATCGATAGCAAACAACCTTTATAGTGTTGATTAAGAAACAACCGACCAGAATGGCATTCTTATGCAAGATCAGAATGTTTCAGATGACACTAGAAATACACAATTAAGATGCGAGGGATACTATATATTATAGAAACGAAATCTACCTAGCCATGAAAAAACAGAACAATTGAAACGCACAAGCATTCTATGTCAAATGGTGGCATGTCATCTAACCTTACCTGCAAAATTTGAGGTAATACAGCAGCCGAGAATAATATGAAATACATAATAAAATTTTGGTCGAAACAATTTTGCGGGAGCGTGAATCTACAGGGTGTTCCTTAATGATATGCGAATATTTCAGGGTGTGAATCTACATGAAAAATTAATGTTAGTTTGCTTCATAAACTATGGTCCAAACATGTTTCCTTACAAAAACTCGAGGTGCTGAAGTTTTAGGAAAACAATGCAAATTAATTAATATTTTCAGAACCGCTTCAGATATTTCACTGATATTTAGTAAGTAGTGAAAGTTTATATATTTTAACACTGGTGTGTGTACGGGTTCTAACTTCGATATTTTTTAAGTAAAAATTGGTATGCCAATATTTTTTTGCCAAATAAAAAATATTTTTGAATTTTCCGTTTAATTTAAAACAAATGATTTCTTTTGAGTTGCTTTTCTTCGATGCGCCATTTTTGAGTAAAAAAATTAAGACCGTTCTAATGTCCGAGAAAATTAATGTAATAATTGAAGAATGCAATTTAGCAATAAATATCTAGTTGCTCTGGAATATGTCACCGGCTGTCTCACAAGTCTGTGTTATTCAAATCTGTTCGCTGTGACATCTTTTTCATTATTTAGCTTTTGCAATCTTGTTAATAATGGTGGATTATTCAAATGCAGAAATGGCGAAAAGGCATTAAGTATATGGCCTTGCCGACGGTAATGGTGAGCAAGCCAGACGGATTTATCACCAGAGATATCCCGATCGTGCTTTGCCAGATAGTCGAACTTTTTCTAATATTCATCGTGGTCTTGATGAAACTGGTTCTGTCCGAAAAGGAATATCTGAAGGTAGACCTCTAAGTGTGAGAACACCTGAAATTGAGGAAGCAGTGATGCACGAAGTCGAAGAATATCCTGAAACGAGTACGAGGAAGATCGCTAGACACTTAAATATTCGCCATCAAATTGTTTGGAGAATCTTAGTGGATTTTTAATTGTAGATTCACACCCTTAAATAGTCGCATTAAGGAACACCCTGTATAGAAGACGATCCCAAAAAGTTGAAGCTATGGGTCTCGAAGATCGTCATGTAAAGGTATTCACCATTTGTATTGGATATATCGGAACCCAGCGTAATAACAATATTGCAGGACAATTTGAAGATGAGTAAGGTGACAGTCACGACTGAACAAAAACTGCTCGGATTGGAAATTTCAGAAAGTAATTTGGTCAGCGATTGTGACTTTTCGGCACACATCGGGCGACGAGACTAGGATTTTCATCCAGCAAAAACGCACGGTCGCGACCCTCTGCTGGGAAATTGATGGCAACAGCTTTTTTTTGGACATCAGGGACATCCTTCTAATTGAATATATGCCAAAAGGAACAAAAATAGATATGGACGTCTATGCGAATACGTTAAGCAATTACCGTAAAGAAATCAGTCTGAGACCTTAATTTTCCAATCGAGAAGTGTCAATGCCACCGTGCATAGGGCTGATAAAAATTTGATCAATTGTGCAGAAGTGCAGCTTCGCTCCCTATAGTCCGGACTTGGCTCCGCCTGACTTTTATCTCTTTAGATAACTAAATAAAAATATTCGCGAACGTCATTTTAACCCCGAGAAATGGTACAGGTGCATTGATGTAGTATATTGAAAAATAAAATTATCACCATCACAATTATTTTAAAACACCCTTGAAATTAGGGGAAACAATAGATTATTTGTTTGAAAACTTACGTTTTGCTGGGAGCTAGGACTATAATTTTAAAGTCGAAAACGGATATTAACAACACTAGCCATCATGTCGGTGTCCTTGCCGTCGATGGATGTAAGTATGAGGAGTAGCAGTTTGTCATCACTTGACTTTTTAATAATAATAATAGTGATAATAATAATACCAGCGTGGCTAGCAGCGGAAATAACATATTTACTTTCTAAAGGTAAATATACGTATAACAGATGAAAAAACTACCGGCCAGTAAATTGCTTGCCTGTCGTTTATAAAGTACTAACATCAGCCTTAACAAGAAGAGTATACGCACACCTAAATGAAAATAATCCGCTCCCTGATGAACAAAAAGGGTGTGAAAATGGGTCTAAGGGATGTAAGGAAACAACATTGCCAGGAAACAAAAACGCATTTTGAGTATGGCATGGATTAATTATAAACAAGCTATCGATAGCCTACCGCGTAGGTGGATAACGAAGACATCATTGGAAAAATAATATGCTATTGTATCATTCTATAGGATGCATAAAAACAAAAGGTATTACCATCAAGCGCGGAATTTTCCAAGGCGACTGCATTAATACCGCTGAGCAATAACGTTATGATAGTCATTATTGAAACAAGTCAAAAAGTTGATATGACCCATGGTCCAAAAGTCAATAGATTTTTGTCTTGACTTTATAGTTTACAACTTTAAGTGGTTTATATCGACCACAATCACCACAATCTTACTAATTTTTATAATCTAATCTAAAACGTTTTTAAATTGGGTAATTAAAAAATAAATCGCATTAAGTTTTTCTAAGTTGAGCCAAAATTTGTAGTCAGTAAGTAAGTTTCATCAAATTCGCCGACATGTTGTTACTTTACGGTCAAGCTCATCAGAATTCAAATCTTGCAGCTCAAATTTATCGCAACAGATTTCGCCGACGGGTACACCCAGACAAGTATACCAAAGACTTCGAGATACAGGAAGTGTTCAGCCCGCTAATATTCGCACTCGTGAAAGACAGGTTACTGTAGAGCAGAAGGAATAAATTTTAAATAATCAATGCAAATATCAGCACTCGGGAATTGGACCGCCGCGTAGGACTACCACATACCATAGTCCATAGAATCCTACGGGAAAATTGGCTTTATTTCTACCATGTACAACGAGTGCAGGCCTTGTTACTAGAAGACTATCCGCGCAGACTAACATTCTGTCAGTGGTTTTTGCACAAACACACTGAAAATCCGGATTTTTTTAAAAACATTCTAGTGACGGACGAATGTACTTTTACGCGAGACGGGATATTAAATTTCCATAATACACCAAGAAAATCCTCATACCATACGTGAAGGTCATTTCTAACAACGTTTTAAAATAAATATTTGGGCGGGTATTCTTGACGATTAGGTAATTGACCCTTTCGAGTTACCCCCAAAGTTGTCAGGAGAAGGATACCTTAGCTTTCTAGCCGATAACCTACCACAACTTTTGGAACAGACCTTAGACAACATGCCATTACAACGGAGACAGAATTTGTGGTTTCTTCATGACGGGGCACCACCACACATTTTTACAGGCGTCATTCAGTATTTGAATGAACATTATCCCAATCGCTGGATCGGTCGAAATGCTCCTGATC